CGTAATACGAGTTTAAGTATAACTGCTTGCGGCCCTCGAAGTCGTAGGTGTAACCGTGGTGGTAGTAGTAGCAGGAGTAGTCGTAGTAGTAGTAGTAGTCGTAGTAATAGTAGTAGTAGTAGTAGTAGTAGTAGTAGTAACACTAGTAGTAGTAGCAGACGCAGTAGTAGGAGTCGTAGTGGCAGTAGCAGCCGTAGTTCTAATACTCGTACGAGTCGTAATAGTAATCACAATCGTAATAGTCGTGGTAGTACCACTATGTGGTGTTAGTAGTAGTACGAGTGGTAGTATCAGTGGTTGTAATAATACAAGTCGTAGTAATGAGTCTAATACTAGTAGCTTCAGAGTGCTAGTAGACATGAGAATAGGAGTCGCTACGATAGAATTCGCAGTAGTAGTAGTAACGCGATTAGTAGAAATAGTAATATTAATAGTAGCAGTAGTAGTCGTAGTAGTAGTAGTAGCAGTAGTAGTAGTAGTAGTAGCAGTAGTAGTAATAGTACTAGTAGTAGTAGTAGTAGTAGTAGTAGCAGTAGTAGTAGTTGTAGTAGTGGCAATGCCTGTAGTAGGATTAGTCGCCGTCGTACTCGTAGTCGCGGCAGCTGTTGTTGAAATACGTCTAGTGGTCGTAGTCGCGGTCGGTGTGCGATTACTCTTATGAAGAATGCCAGTGCGCGTAAAATGAACCCGTAAAAGGGAGTAATCGAAGTCGTAGTGGTAGTAGTAGTAGTAGTAGTAGTAGTAGTAGTCGTCGTCGTCGTCGTCGTCGTCGTCGTCGTCGCCGTAGCAGCAGTACTCGCAGTAGTATCAGCAGTGGTAGTAAAAAATCGTAGTGGCAATAATAGTAATAGTCGTCGCCGTAGTCGTAATACTAATAGAAATAGTCGTTGTCGTGAACACGGTAGTGATATATGCGGTGGTCCTGGCAGTCGCAACAATAATAATAAGAAGTCGCGGGGGTAGTAATAGTAGTAGTCATAGTAGTAGTGCTAATACTGGAAATCGTGGTAGTGGTAGTAGTCGTGGTACTCGTAGTAGTAAATAGTAGCACTAGCAGTAGTGGCAACAGTGGTCGCAGAAGCCGTAGTAGTAATGATAACCGTAAAAGTAGTAGAAATAATCATGATAGTAAGGGGCGTAATAAGGATCGTGCTCGCCGTGCTAGTCGCAATTGTCGTAGTAGTAATAATAGTTGTAGTGGTGAAAGTAGCCGTCGTACTCGTAGTAGTAGTAGCAGTAGCCGTAGCACCAAAAATCATTTTGGAACTACTGGTAATGGTAGTAGCAGTTGTAGCCGTAATCGTGGTAGGCGTAGTCGTAGTGAAAGCAATGGTAGTAGTCGTGGTAGGAGTAACAGTAGTAGTGGTGGTAATCATCGTAGTAGCAGGTGTAATAGTGGTGGTAGTGGTAGTCGTAATCGAAAAATGGCAAGGAAGAAACCAGTAGTCGTAGTAGTGCCACCAGTAGTAATAGCAGTAGTAGTAGTAGTAGTAGTAGTAGTAGTAGTAGTGGTAGTAGTAGCACAAGTGTTAGCAACCAGAGTCTTAGTCGTAGCAATAGTAGTCGTAGTACTAGCAGTAGTAGTCGTCGTAGTCATAGCCAAATTATAAAGGCGATGGTAGTAGTAGTAGTCGTAGAAGCAGTAGTAGTAGTAGTAGTGGTAGTAGTAGTAGTAGTAGTAATAGTCTAAATCGTACTAGTATTGGTGGGATCAGTAGTCGTACTCATATGAATGAGAATATAAATAACGCGCTTAGCAGTAATAGCCACTGTAAAAGTAAGGGTCGCCGGGCTAGTAGCACTGGTGGTAGTAGTGGTGGCAGTCGTCTCAGATGTAATAGGATTAGTCGGAGCAGTAGTCGTCGTAGTCTTAGTCCTACTGGCACTAGTAGTAGTGGTGGTAGTCGTACCGTAAAGCAATAGTGGTACTGGTAAACATGGTGATCATATTAGGAATAGTGGTAGTAGTACTAGCAAAAGTAGTAGTAGTCAGCGTAGCAGTGAAAGTGCTGATAATCGTAATTCTCGTAAAACTGAGAATACTAGTGGCAATAGTAGTAGTAGCAGTAGCAGTAGTAGTAGTAGTAGTAGTAGTAGTAGTAGTAGTAGTAGAAATAGTAGAGGCACTAAGAGTAGTAGTAGTAATAATAGTCGTCATCGTAGTCGTACTCGTCGTGGTTTTAGAACTAGTAGTAGTAGTAGGGAAAGTAGTCGTAGCAATGGTATTCGTAGTCGTAGTAGTAGGAGCAATAGTAATAGTAGAAGTAGTAGTACTAATAGTCGTAGTAGTAAAAGTAGTAGTAGTAGCGGTTGTATTAGTAATCTAGTAGTAGTAGTAGTCGTAGTAGTAGTCGTAGTAGTAGTAGTAGTAACCGTGGTTAACAAAACATGATAGTACTAGTAAGTATAATAATCGTGATTCTGGACGTAGCAGTCGTCGTAGTCGTAGTGGTAGTAGAAGTGGCAGTAACACTACAAACATAATAGTAGTACTAGTAGCAACAGTAGTCGCAATAGTAGCGATAGTAGTAACAACAAGGCGAGTTGACAAAATACGCCTAGTAATGAAGACAAAACTACTAGTCGTAGTGGTGGTGGTACCCCTGGTAGTAGTAGTTGTAGTAGACGTAATACTCATAACGCTTCTCGTCGTAGTCGTAATCGTAGTGATAGTAAAAGTACGAGTAGTCGTCCTACTACTCGTAGTAGGGATAGTAGTAGTAGTGGTAGTAGTAGTAGTAGTAGTAGTAGTAGCTCTAGTAGCACCAGTAGTGGTAGTAACCCTCGTAGCCGTAGTAGAAGAAATAAAAGTGATAGTAGCAGTATCAATAATAGTGAGAGTAGTCGTAGTGATAGTAGTAGTAGTAGTAGTAATAATAGTAGCGGTCGTAGTGGTAGTAGCAGTAGCAGTAGTAGCAGTAGTAGTAGTAGTAGTAGTAGTAGTAGCCGTAGTAGTAGTAGTAGTAGTAGTAGTAGTAGTAGTAGTAGTAGTAGTAGTAGGTAGTAGTAATAGTAGTAATAGTAGTAGTAGTAGCAGTAGTAGTAGTAGTAGTAGTAGTAGTAGTAGTAGTAGTGGTAGTCGTGGTAGTCGTGGTAGTCGTGGTAGTGGTAGTGGTAATACACGTGGTACTAAAAATAGTAGCGGTAGTCGTGGTAGTAGTAATAGCAAAAGCAATAGTAACCTTGATAGTAGTCGTAGTCGTAGCAGTCGTAATAGTAATAATAATAGTGGTGGTAGTGGTAGGAATAAACGTAGACGTCGTCGTAAGACGTAGTAGTCGCCAGAGAATTAGCAGCAGTAGTGGTAGTGGTAGTGGTAGTCGTAGTAGTAGTGGTAGTGGTAGTGGTAGTAGTAGTAGTAGTAGTAGTAGTAGTAATAGTAGTAGTAGTAGTAGTAGTAATAAGTAGTAGTAGTAGTAGTGGTAGCAGCAGTAGTAGTAGTAGTAGTAGTACTACTACTACTAGTACTAGTAGCCGCAGTAAGCGGAATGGTCGCAGTACTACTAGTATTGGTAGTACGAGTAGTAGTAGTAGTAGTAGTAGTAGTAGTAGTAGTAGTAGTAGTAGTATTAGTAGTAGGAGGAGTAGTAGTAGTAGTAGAAGTAGTAGTACTGGTAGCGGTGGTAGTTATAATAGCAGTAGTAGTGGTAGTAGTAGTAGTAGCAGTAGTAGTAGTAGTAGTAGTAGTAGTAGTAGTAGTAGTAATCGTAGTAGTAGTAGTAGTAGTGGTCGTAATAGTAGTAGTAGTAGTAGTAGTAGTAGTAGAAGAAGTAATAGTAATTGTAGGGGTAGTGGTAGCAGGAAAAGTGGTAGTAGCCGTGGTCGGAGTAGTGAGAGGAGGAGGAGTCGTAGTAGTAGTAGTAGTACTACTACTACTACTAGTAGTAGTCGTCGCAGAAGTAGTAGTAGTAGTAGTAGTAAATATAATAGTAGTAGTAGTAGCAGTAGTAGTAGTAGCAGTAGTAGTAGTAATCGTAGTTGTACCAATAATAATAAGAATAGTAGTAGTAGTGGTATTGGTAGTAGTAGTCAAAGTAGTAGTAGTAATAGTGGTAGTAGCAGTAGTGGTAGTAGTAGTAGTAGTAGTAGTAGTAGTAGTAATAGTAGTAGTATTAATAAGAACATAGTAGCAGAAGTAGGAAAGTAGTAATAGTAGTGAAAGTAATACTATTAGTAGGAGTAGTAGTCGTAGTAGTAGTAGTATTAGTATTATTATAAGTAGTAGTGGCAGTAGTAGTAGTAGTAGTAGTCGTCGTCGTCGTAGTCGTAGTCGTAGTCGTAGTAGTAGTAGTAGTAGTAGTAGTAGTAGTAGTAGTAGTAGTACTAGTACTAGTACGAGTAGCAGAAGTAGGAAATTAGTACTAGTAGTTAAAGTAATAATATTAGTAGGAGTAGTAGTCGTAGTAGTAGTATTAGTATTATTATAAGTAATAGTGGCGGTAGTAGTAGTAGTAGTAGTAGTAGTAGTAGTAGTAGTAGTAGTAATAGTAGTAGTAGTAGTAGTAGTAGTAGTAGTAGTAGTAGTAGTAGTAGTAGTGTAGTAGTAATAGTAGTAGTAGTAGTAGTAGTAGTAGTAGTAGTAGTGGTAGTAGTAGTAGTAGTAGTAGTATAGTAGTAGTAGTAGTAGTAGTAGTAGTAGTAGTAGTAGTAGTCGTCGTCGTCGTCGTCGTCGTCGTCGTCGTCGTCGTCGTCGTCGTCGTCGTCGTCGTCGTCGTCGTCGTCGTCGTCGTCGTCGAAGGCGTAGCCGTAATGATTCTAGCACGGCTGACCAGAGTAGCCGGGGAGATACAAGCCACGAGAGGCAAGGTAAAAAACCCACGGGCTGGGGCAGCACCCCTGGCGGTGTGGGTTGGGGAAGGAAGCGGGGAAAAAATGACCTGATAACAAATTCCCCACCCCCTCCCATTTCCACCTCTTCCACCCCCTCCCATCTCGTTTTCCTTCTCTTCCTCCTTTTCCAGATCTTCTCAACGACGACAACCCCGCTGTGCGCGGCGTTCCTCGCCCTTCCGCGCCTCGCCCTGGGCGCGGCTGCGCGAACGGCTCCCGCTGCGCGAGCGGCTGCCGCTGCCCCCGCGACGCTCGCGCGCCTGCAGCGGCCGCGCAGACCCCGCGCCCCATCATCCCCCCCCCTCCCAACAGGGGAAAGGGAAAAACTGAAGAGGAGAATGAAGAGGTGGAGCGTGGCGTGGAGGCGAGGAGGAGGATCAAAAAGAGGAAGAAGAGGAGGAAGAGGAGGAAGAGCAGCAGGAGGCGGAGGAAGTGGGAAAGTGGCGGAAAAAGGAACGAGGGGGAGGAACGGGGAGGTGGAGCAGCAAAGAAAAGGAACTAAGAGGAGGAGGAGGAGGAGGAGGAGGAGGAGGAGGAGGAGGAGGAGGAGGAGGAGGAGGAGGAGGAGGAGGAGGACGGTGAGGAGGAGGGAGAGGAGGATGAGGAGGAGGAGCGAGGAGGAGTCAGGAGGAGCGACGAGGAACAAAGAGGCGTTCCTGCCCTCAGGAAGGTTCGTCTTTGTGGCGACTAGTCTCGCTGCAAATGTGCAATGTCTTGCTGGTGCCTCCCGGATCGGAACGTAGTGTGGTCAGCCTGTTCACTGTGTGTTGGCCCGCCCGCGGGCGGAAAAATCTCGTCGGTAGTTGTACACATGAAGGAGCAGCATGCGGCGATTAATTGTTGCGCTTGTGAGTTTCGTTGGCGAACTGCCCAAGCGTTCTGTGATACTTGCAGCGAACAGCGGGTCAGGGTCAATGGGGCGAAACTTTTTGGGGGCCGCAAGGCGTGCGATGGGGCCGGTTGCCCGTCTTGCACGGGCACCCGAAAAAAACAGTAGTGGGTCTCGGTTGGTAGGCGGTGCGATGCGACGCGCCCTGCGAGCAGTGTCTCGAAGGCCATACTCTGCACAGCGCCGCTGCATTTGGCAAGGCGGTCTTCCAGGGAACTCCATGTGCAAGCAAAACCGATGAGATCGAGCTCAGCCGTCGTCGTCCAGTCGGCCATGCGAGGTCGAGTGGTGCCTGCAAGGGTCTGGGAAACGCTTGCACTGATGCGTCGAGACAGGAAGCGCTGCCTGCGGACAGGCGGGAGGCTTCGCCCTTCGGCGGCAGCAACAGAGGCATTGCGTTTTGCCGTCGCCAGGTCCAGCAGCGCCTGCGACATCTTGCCGAAGATGCGTCTCTGCCCAGGAAAGCCCGCCGCAGCCTCCTCGAATGCAAACACGATGGCACCCGTCCTCCAGAACATGGGCGAGCCGTCTCCCGCGCTGGACAGGGGGGGCCGCGAGCCGGCCAGCTCCACCGGCATCCCCCGCTGGTGCTCCGGCCAACCGACCCAGTCCTTGATCGCGCCGGTCGCCATTCTCGTCGCCGCGGGCAGTCCGGGCACCTAGAGCGCCGAGCCAGTCGAGCAAATCAGCGAGGCCGAAGGACACTGCCCTGGTCCCGCCGTTCGTTGGTATGTGCCTGATTTGGCGGATCGCCCAGTGCTCGAGGTCGCGGAACGCATTGGTGTCGGGCCGCCTGAATTGCGCGGTGCAGCCCATCATTGGCAGCGCGCAGGTGTGGCACATTGCCGCGGTCGCCGACGCAGGCGCGACCGCTGCCGCCGACTCCGCCACTCTCCGCTTGTACTTAGCGAGCGGCAGCGCCCGCCGGTCCAAGTCTGCGCCGCGCCCGACCATCGGCCTGAACTGAAGAACTTCGCGCATGCCTGCGTCTCGATGCCGCCCCAAGGTTTCCGGATGCGTCGCGCAGGGCCAGCTGGAACTCCGCGGCCGCGCCCTGGCCGAGCGCGACCTGCAGCGCGACTCGCGCACGCCGCGCGAAGTCGAGCGCGATTCCGCAGAGGAGCTCCGCCGCCGGGCGCGTCCTGATCGCGAGTTCGCGACGACTCCGGCCGCGGCGACAAAGCCCCCGGCAGCCCGCGGCGAATGTTTTGCGTCGGTGTCCCTCAACTGGAAAGGTCGCAGTTGCTTGGCCGCCCGCGAGATGAGCGCGCCATCTCATGGGTCGTGGCCCTTGGGGATCGGCGCGATGAGCGCGCCATCTCATGGGTCGTCGCCCGTGGAGGTCGGCGCCGGGGTCGACGCGTGGAATTCCGCGGGCGGATGGGGGGGCCGCGGGGCAGCTCGCTCAGCGCGCCCGCGAGGGCGCCGTTACCCGTCGCGCACCGCCCCGCGCAGCATGACGAACCATCTGGCCGCGGCGCCGCGCGCGCGCCCTTTCAGGCAGCGCCCCCAGTCTTCTCGCGGGCGCAGCGCGCGGTCGTCCGCGCCGAGGCCCTCCGCGAGCATCTCGAGGAAGCGATCGTGAAACTCCTCCCCCGCGGTCTTCGCCGTGATGGCGTCGCCTCGGCATTATCCCATCCTCTCCCCAGTCGCAGATGCCCCCCCCCACCCCCCCCGTCGCGCGCGATGGGCTCGGGAGGTCGCGTCGCGCTTCGCGGGCGCCCGCAGCCTGGCGCGCCGCGCCCCCGCCTTCCTCGCCGCGCGCAGGCCCACGCTCGGATCTCGTCCGCGCTGTCGATGCTTCCCTGGATGGCCCCCGGCCGCGCTCGATCGCGATCGCGCTGCACTTCGGCGACGGCGCATCTGAAGGCGGCCGCGCCGAGGCCTCTGCTCATGTCCGGCGCCTACTGCGTCAGCAACGCGTTGCGAGCGGCTTGCGCCGGCCCCCGCGCCAGCTCCGCGCTCTCGCCCCGCGCGGGCGCGCGCCGATCGCGCGCCCCAATTCGGGGCGCCGTCGGTGAGCCGCTGGAGCGCTGGAGATGCGTCTCAAAGAGCTGGTTGCGAATGATGAATCCGGGGTATTCGCTGTTTCTCCCGGTGGATCGCGCGCCTTGCCGCGACGCCGATGCGCGCTGGGGCGTGGCTGGAGATGCCCCCGTCGAATTTTTCGGTCGGGCTAGCCATGCCGCGCGAAATCCATCGCCGTTGATGCGCTGGCCAAGACAGCGCCGACGCGAAGGCGGTCGACGCGCGACGCGCCTGGCACAGCAGGCCCAGACGCCGCGCCGCGCGTCGGCGAGAAGTCGTGCATCTCCAGGGGCGGAGCGAAGATCGGCCCTCATCGCTGCGCTGCACTGTCAGGGCGGACGAACTTGCGGGAGTCGGCGAACGAGACGCCCCGGCCCGCCCGCGGTGGGTGGAGGCGCGGCGCGGCCCTGCCCGAGAAGCTGATGTCTCTGAGGGCCGCAGTCGTCGCGCGCTCAGGCGCAGGCTGGCACCTCGCGTTGTCGTTGCGCATGCGGTTGTCGATCGCGGCCGCGTCCTAGTTCGCGAGATCGAGCCTGTGGGCGCAGCGAGAAGCCGACTTCATCATCTCTAGGTGGCGCGAGGGCGACCCTGGCGACCCCGGCAGGGAACGATTTAAAATTGCATGCGTTGATGTGCCTTCCCAAACTTTGGTGTGAGGATTGCCGTTCCTCCAGCGCGCCTTGATAAGATCGAATAACACATGTCGTACGCGGGCGGCATGCACGCGGTCCAACGCCTGTCGCAGTGCTGACTCCGATCGAGTTTATTTCTAGAAATCCTCTAGAGTCGGCCCCTGGCGCATCGCCATCGCGGCGCAGTTTACCTCCTTGTCGCGGCCGGGGGGGTCCCGGCGCAGTTGGGCTCGGCAGTTCCATCGTGAGTGGCGCGCTGGCGTGTGAAGCGATTCTTCGCCATCCACGACAACTGCGAGTCGGTCTTCTCTGGGTCGCGGACGTCTCGCGAAGCGCCGGGGCGCGAAAGTGGTGGTGACAACGAGATTCGACATCCTGGCCTGCTGGCTTGGCCACGTTTTCGAAGAGAGCGTGCACCTGCTGCTTGTCAGACCGCAGATTGGCGTCCGCAGCGCGTTCTGCCGCTGCCACGCGGTTACAGTAAAGCAATACTGCGTCATCAATGTGTCGTCCGACGTCCACTCGGGCAAGGGCGATGTTGCGGGTCGAGACCTTGCCCATGCATCTGTCCATGCGCCATCAGTCGCGCGATGGGGGCGTTCTTGATGAGCGTGATTACCTTCTTGGCGGCGGTCTCAATCCGCTGCAGCTGGGGGCGTCGGTCCAGCGCGATTTAGAGAAGGGCTGGTTGGTGTTATCGGTCGCTGCTGCCACTGTGAATCGCCGCCGCTGGCCGTCAGATAGTCCGAGCTTGGCGAAAGCCTTTTTGCACCTTTGCTGCGGCTTCGTGTCCGAGGAATTGCAGGCGGCATTTCCTGCGCGGGCCGTTGCCCAGAAACTTGCAATCCGAGTCGTCGAAACCGCGCTCGATGAGCCAGGGCGCCAAGGCGTTCCCCAGGGCTCCGCGCTCCGTCGGGATGGGCGTGCCAACGCAAAGGAGCTCAAGCTGCGTTCTGGATCGCACTGGGCTGCGTCTTGCGCGTTGACCACTCTGGAGGGCAGTTCGTTTTGGCGGCCCTCGACGCTGACCCGCAACCCGGCGGCGCCCATCCCCTGCATCTGAAGATTGGAGCGCATCTCTAACACGTCGCCCTCGATCTGCTGGAATTTCTTATCTTGCTTCTGGGCGTGGGCGCCGGTGGCGTCGGTGCTGATTTTGGTGATGGCACTGATGGGCTTTGTCTTCTGTCTCGCCCAGCTTGCGTCCATTTGCGCGGCCGCCGTGTTTGCAATTGCGGCTCTGCTTTGCTTCGTGATGTCGGCGGGCCGCTGTCGCGTGCCATCTGGTCCCTCTGTATCTTCGGCGGTGGCGAAACCACAATCGTCATGCGAAGAGCAGGCTCAGGTCTGCCAAAGGCCTTGAGCTAAAACAAATGTCCAGTCCGCTTGGGATGAGTGACTTTCTGACCTTTTCTACTTTCTCTGCCTGTCCACTGTCGCCTTGCCAAGAGCCATCAGCAGCGCTAGCACTCCCACAGCCGTTAGCAAGCATCTCATCCAAGTTCGCCGCTTTCTGGCGCAATCGGCAGCGCGCAGCTCGACCGATGCAGCGATCTCGAGGCATGTGGTCGCGGGCGCGACAGCAGGCAGGAGATGGAACTTGACCAAGGCAGCGCGCAGCTCGACTTTGGTTGCGAAGCTTGGGAAAGTTTGCTGCGGACCAGCGGCCTCCACTTTGCTCCATTCAGAACGGGACACATCGAGCCACAAT